TGCACCTTCCATTAATGCTGGTATTTTGTAATTATGTTCAAGTAAATGTCTTGTTAACACTATTGAGTGGACTTAGATCACATCCTCTTCAGATTACATTCCTCTAGATTTGATAATGCTAAGATCCACAATTCTATCGCAAAAAAACTGCTCTGGTTCTTTCCATCTCTTTAATCTATTCTACATGGACTTTGGCAACTTGAAAATATTAGCAAAATATAGCAGCAGCAAGGAAATTGTCAAATTCATGTTACTGATGAAGTGGGAAATATGGTAACTCATATAGAATAAAAGCAAAGAAGACTGCTAATCAGGAAGGTTATACAAGTCAAGTGTGGTGTGGTGCCTGGGACATGTAAGTTCCTGTAAGGAAAATGAGAAGTGACCCAGAGACAAAATGCAGAGGCAGGAAAGAAAGATGGCAAAATGGCAGAGAGGTCAAGCTGCCAAGCCTTATTTATACCAATAGGTTACTTTAGGTCATTGGCATAATTAGTACATAGTGTTCATTGTATTACTAGATAGGTTACAGACTTAGCAACATTATGTAGCTTATTCCTCAGTTATACACTAAGTTGCAATGTGGTAGGAGCTCTGTGTAGCTCTCAAGAAAGTCCATTGTAGAAAGTTACAGTTATATGGGCAGGTTTAGGCTCAGTGATACCTTGAGGTTATCTAACAAGAGAGTTCCTTTATTCCCAGGAGATATGTGCCTGAGGTCAAGGTTGAGGCTGATAAGACTAACACAGAGCCTCCTCATGAAGAACATTGCTACAGCAGCCAGGCATCCTGTGTCTTTGCACAGAAGGTTTCCCAGCAGCCAGGCACTCTTCCTAACCACCAAGCATGCTACAGTCATGAAGCTATCAGAGACCTCAATCCCAAAAACAGAACCCCTACTGGTTTCTCTTCTTCTCATTATTCTCTTAGTAATGATAATAGTAGTAATAATAATTGAATATATATAAAGATAATAGTAATAATAGTTGAATATATATGTAATGATAATGGTAATAATAATAGAACACACACACACACAACATATAATGAATGCTTTTATGTTCCAAGAATTTGATAAACCTTTTAAAACTGTGATTTATTTTTAAAATGTACTTATAAGAATAAGTTAGCATTATTATTACTATTCAGATCCACAGATAAGAAGCTCAAACTCAGAAACATTAATGAAGCTGCCTGAAGTGCAAAGATCCTCCTGCCTCAGCCTCCAAGCCACTGAGATTACAGGCATGAATCACTGAGCCAAGCTAGATGACAGTTTAAATAATAGCTAATGCTTATTGTTCATTTGCTATGCTCTGGCATTGTCTTGTGAGTTCTGTAAATGCAATCTCTTTCACTTACTACTATAAATTTATTAGACAGGTCATGTCTCCCCAGTATTTTAAGGTATACAAGTTAGTCTCTAAGTGTTTAGTTAAAGACTGAGGTAACTAAGTTGGTTAATGATAAAGCTGTATCTCAAATCAAAAACAGTATGACTTCTCCTTTGAGTTATAAAGAAAACAAATTCATCATTAATTTAATTTTGAAACACTCATTCATAAGTAATTTCATATCACATTTGTGGTTGTTATAGTTTTCCAGTGCATTTTCATGTTGCTTGGATTGATGACCAAAAAAATGTGTAAGATGGTTTGTCTTAACCCAATTTTACAAATACAAACACTGAAACTTAGAGCCCTTTCCGAAAGTAAACAACAGAAGAGCCCAGGCAGTCCCAAGATTAGCTCAGTTTCCACTATATCACCATGGCTTCCTAGCACGACTGCAGCTGACCCTGTGAGTGAGCAATTTCCCATGCTTCTCTCTGATCCTCTCTCTGTGTATTATTATTAATCCATTCATTTTAGGGATTTGGATAAGTGTTCTGTATATCCTTAAAATCATTAGTGTTTCCATGACCAAATTATGGGGGACAGATGGAGAAAAAGGGGTAGGGGGGAGAAAATGTGTTAGCTCACAGTTTCTTCCATGAGGATAAATCCCACTAGAACATTCAACACATATTTCTCAAGAGAGCTCCTTTGTCTTGATATAACTAGTGGGTAAATTTGCAATAGACTTGCATTATCCTTTTTTTCAGAGTACAGTCTATCACTTTAATTCCTTATTCTCCTTTACGTTTTCAAGTAAATCACAGACATATTCCAGCAACAATTGGCTTCTCAACTAATCATTCAAAAAATTCAGAATATAAATAGCCAGGCTAAGTCTGAGCATTATTGATCCAGAATGGAAGGAGGTAGGATGTGGCTATTTAATGGAGGACATATTTATTTTTATCTCCTCCTTTCTTTCTCCCTCTTCCCCTTTTTT